ACAGTTTTACAATTGACCAACTTGAGAAGCTTGGAGCTCTAAGGTTGACCAAAAAACCCCCCCCCCCACTTCCTTTTTGGACAACTGAGCATTTGAAGAGAAAAGAGACGACAACACAATTGAGTAACAATAGAAGCCAGTCATTGAAGGTTTTTTTCTTGCAAGTACTCCAAGTACGGTGAGTACAAATTTACGAGATGAACTGTGTCTCTCAGGGGCTTTCCTTTTGTATATAAGAAACCCTTGATAGGTGACTCTTGATCACGCTCGTAAACAAAATGGCTCTGATGTTGCCATGGAAACTAAATATTGGGCTCATCCCTGGTAACATCGCCTACCATGCATATATATATATTACAAGATATGAACATCGGTTTCTTATTGAGTTAAGTATAGACGTAGCTTTGATACATTTAAAAACTTTAATTTTACATGTTAATGGATAGCGTCGAAACGACAGCTCAAGAGTCAGCAAAAAAAAAAAAAAAAATCATAGAAATGTTTATTTCTCGTGTCCGTAAACGGTAACGGATTTGTTATAATTATTACAGGTATGTTAATATTTTAAAACAAGTATATATATTAGCACTATCAGAATATGAGCAAAAAAAGAATCATGTTTGAACCATACATTTTTTTTTTAAATCTATTAGATGTTGCTGGAATTTCAGCGCTCAACTGCAGCAAACATGACTGTCTTAGACTTTTTCTTTTATCCATTCTTCGAAACGCAAGCCAGTTCAAACAGAAACTCTGCCCCAAAGATATGCGGGAAACCTCTTTCTCGAGAATTTTTCCAGCATGTCGCAATAGTTCTATTCGCTCGAGTTCCTTCTCCGCTCATCCAATCCTCGGGAAATACCATGTTTACTGACAATATTTAAGAAATGCATCTCCAAACATCATTTCCCTTTGGAGTGGGCCTTGTGAGCTGTACGTAAATATTATTATAAGATTATCTAGGTTTGCCCTTAAAAGAAAATACACAGGATTATATAGTTTCATTTGTTTTCTAGTGTATAAATAAATCCTACCATGAAACATTGCAAGCACACTTTCCTTTCTTTTATTAGCAGAACAAACAGCTCGTTTTTATTCAGCTAAATAGAATGGTTACCATAAGGCTTGTTCTGTTAAAAGTAGGAGAAAGAACACGAGTATAGTCGTGTATCTATTTGCGTAAGTACATACGTACAGGTTTTATCAAAATGACCAAGATAGAATCTGTAGAGCACACACACGTGTATGTATACAGGAATCGTAAAGATAAACCGACATAAAAGATAAAAAAAATACTGTATGTTACTACCCCGAAGGACGAGAGAGCTTACGATTAATAAAACAGTGCACTAGTGCATAGATTTAGCTTACGATTAATAAAACAGTGCACTAATGCATAAACATAGCTTACGATTAATAAAACAGTGCACTAATGCATAAACATAGCTTACGATTAATAAAACAGTGCACTAATGCATAAACATAGCTTACGATTAATAAAACAGTGCACTAGTGCATAAACTTAGCTTACGATTAATAAAACAGTGCACTAATGCATAAACATAGCTTACGATTAATAAAACAGTGCACTAGTGCATAAACATAGCTTACGATTAATAAAACAGTGCACTAGTGCATAGATTTAGCTTACGATTAATAAAACAGTGCACTAATGCATAAACATAGCTTACGATTAATAAAACAGTGCACTAATGCATAAACTTAGCTTACGATTAATAAAACAGTGCACTAATGCATAAACATAGCTTACGATTAATAAAACAGTGCACTAATGCATAAACTTAGCTTACGATTAATAAAACAGTGCACTAATGCATAAACATAGCTTACGATTAATAAAACAGTGCACTAATGCATAAACTTAGCTTACGATTAATAAAATAGTGCACTAATGCATAAACTTAGCTTACGATTAATAAAATAGTGCACTAATGCATAAACATAGCTTACGATTAATAAAATAGTGCACTAATGCATAAACATAGCTTACGATTAATAAAACAGTGCACTAATGCATAAACTTAGCTTACGATTAATAAAACAGTGCACTAATGCATAAACTTAGCTATATACTTTATAAGAGACACCAGTCAAAGATCGTCACTAGTACGATATCAGTAGGAAGAATCTTTTTTTTCGTGAATTTCTAGAATTTATATTCAATATATCTGCTGCCGGGTATGCACACGCACGCCCCCTCCTCGTGATTTCATTGTAACCCCCTCTTCCCCCCACGGTACTTGAACGGTGAGCTTAAGAACTTATAACGTTAAAATACGGGGTTCGATTCCCATGGTGAGCACAGCAAGTTGGCGCTTAAAGAAACAAGTAAGTACAGTATCTAAGTATTGTACAAAAAAGTTCACTATATTTAATATTTATAATTAGATACAAACGCATCAGACCCGTACTGCGTATCGGTACGTACTTAATTACTGAGAGGGTGGGGTATAAGACATTGTATGATTAAGTAGCATTTCTGTTCACAGTCCGACAGTTGAAAAAGCTTGATATTTTTACAGTACTCCGTCAGAACGTATTTTAAAGCATAGATGTACGATTTTTGGTGAGTATTTTAAAGCGTAAATGTACGATTTTTGGTGAGAAACCATGATATCCTTCCAGATGTGACAGAATTTTGAAAAGCAACAATTAACAATGCAGTAACAAATCAATGAACTGAATACAAATAACTATGAATATCCTAACTACATTACTGACATTCGTCTTAAGTTGTTGTTTTTTTGTGACATTTTTCACGCGATTTTGGTTGTCTTTACAAACTAGTTACAGTAGCTCGTGGCCGTATACAGGTTCAGTATGTTAATATCAAAGTAAGTTTAATTTTTTTCGTTGTTTTTCAAGTGAAATATAAAATATATTGATAAATGTATCTGTGAAATGTAGTTTCTGGTAAGATTTCTAATATTCCACGACGTATCTCAAAGTTATCGATCACAATACGGTGGTGCTTCTTTGTTTCACATAGAGGTGCCGATTTCACACTGTTTTAAACTGTTGTTGTTCTTCTGTCAGATAGAAGTGGAATGACATCGAAACTCGAGCAATGCGTGAAATGTTTCATTTTATCTTTCAAGTTTTCGACATTCAAATATTGTACATAACAGCAACAAAGTCAGTAACTTTGATCTGTTCCACCAACTGGTCTGTTGTAGGCTGTCGTATCGATTTTTTTTTATAACATATATATAATTTAATATCGCTTTTAAACTGTTCATAG